AGGATTGTTCCAAATACTAGTTGCACTGCTCTGTTTATAATTGTTAATATTAGACAAACAGTAGACAAATGCAGAAGCAAAACAATTGTATTAGCATAATATTCTCTTCATTGAATGTGTAGTTTGAATTACAGATTCCAAACCAATGGCTGAATTTCTTCTAGTCTGAGCAAAAGTTGCTGGTTTTCTTTCCTCTGAATAAAACTGAACTGTGGGTTCTCAAAAAAAAAAAAAAAAAAGAAGAAGAAGTCTAAGGGAGATGCTCTGGGTGAGCAGGGGAAGAATGGGGAACAGGGCAAGAGCACTGGGTGCCGAAGGCGAGGCTCTAGGTGTATATCTTATTCAACCCTCATACTCATCTTGAGCATAAAGTATTTCTGTTTTTATAAATACATAAACAAAGTTTCAAAGAGAATAAGAAAATTGTCAAGATTAGTGCCAGGGCTGGGACCTGCACCCAGCTCTTCACTCTTCCTAGCCAGTTGGTCATTAGTTCTTGCCTCCCCATGGGTCATACAACAGGACTGTCCTATGTAGCTCACACAGGCCCCTGTTTTCAGGCTACTCAGGCCAGTGAAAGAAGGAATGAAACTTATTTCACCTAACAGTCACTGAATGACACACTAATCAGTGTGCATTACACTCATGTGTCATGCTGTATTCAATTTTCACAACAGCCCTGTGAGGCAGATAATTTACACTATCCTCATTTTACAGTTAAGGAAGGTGAGGCTTAGAGATAGTGAGTGGCATAACTACATATAACTTTGGAGCTTCTTAAGCTCTTCTTAGTGGGCATGTGACTGTCCTGAGCCACCAAAGGGGCAGAGAGGTGTGCAAACACGGCTAAGACCCTGGCGTTCCTTCTCTTATTTGATGGGACCCAGGAAAAGAGAATGCTTATGGAAGCCAAGGGGTTTGGGGCCTACCAGGTCCCAGAGGGCAGGATAGTCCTAGGGACTTCCTATAGGCCCAGGACTGCTGCAGCATCAGTCACTTCTTTCGCCAGGACAGCTGAGATGGTGACCAGTTCCAAATGCCTGCTCTGTGGCCTCCCTCGGGCCAGTCTCTACTCAACAACCAAAATAAAAGCAGGTTATGTCTCCATACTGTGTTGTTCAAAACCTTTCAGTGGCTCTTTCAGTTCCCTGGACTCGGTGTCTGCTCCCACAGTTCAAGCAGGAGGGATGAACCTCTACTCCTGGGTACCTGTGGAGCTTGTCCTCCTCCCATCTCTGGTCTGACAGGCTGAGTGGAGAATGCTTGCTGGATGGTATCTGACACTCTCCTGCCCTGTGAACTGCTGAGCTCCAACATGGCAGAGTCTGCTGTGGACTCCAGTGGTCCCAGGCTTTGGTCCTAGAGGATTCCCCAAACCCCAGCTGAAGGGCAGGCTTGGAGCCTGAGACCCCTGGCAGCATATCCCGCAGCATCTTTGAGCCAATGCAAAACCATTAGGGCAGCTCAGTGAGGTAGATTACAGGGTAACTAGGCAGATGAGGTAGACTCACTGCTGCAGGGAAGGGAGACTGAGAGGTGATTCTGGGGTAAGGAATAGCTCTTCTCCATGCACCCACTGAGCCTGTGGTCCTAAGCCACTGTCTCAAGCTAATGCAGTCAGCTTCTGTGTGCTCAGCCTTGGGCTTCCTTCCTCGGGGCTCGGAGAGGAGAGGGAGGGAGCTAACAAGCCAGGCTCTGGGGCTGAGCCACGGCCAGAGATCATAGATCAGCTCTGTGGGGCAGCACACAGCAGGAAGTAGTCAGGAGGCCGACTGCAAGCACAGCTGCAGTGATCTAAACCATTACCTGGGGCGAAGGGATGCACTCTGCCTCCGCAGGGCGCGCTGGAGCTGCCCAGGCTTTGCTGAGTGGGTGAGCTAGGGAGTAGGGCTGGCCAGGCTGCCTGTGCCAAGGAAGGAGGGGGCTGCCGAGGCCGCCAAAGCAGGCGGGAGGGGCCAGGCCAGCTGGGGCCGGAGCTAGTGTGACATCACTGGGCGGCCCGCCCCTGTCTGGGGCTGAGGGGAGGCCCGGAGCCTTTCTGGGGCCTGGGGGATCCTCTTGCACTGGTGGGTGGAGAAAAGTGCCTGCAGCCAACCAGGGTCAGGCTGTGCTCACAGTTTCCTCTGGCGGCATGTAAGGGCTCCACAAAGGAGTTGGGAGTTCAAATGAGGCTGCTGTAGTCGGCATGAGGATGGACCCTGAGCCTTGAGCGGTGCTGCCCAGAGCCCCAGACCTGCACAGCATGGCACTGAGGTGGCTGCCCACCCAGCTGTGAGCAAAAGCAGGTTGCAATCAGCCCGACAGCACCCGGGCCAGCCCCCGGGCCAGCCCCCGACCCATCCCGAAGAGCCAACTGCAGGCAGAGCCGGCAGAAGCCAGTGAGGCAGTGCTGCTGGGCTGCCAGTGTGGCCTGCGACTTGGGTCCCCTCCTGGAGTCTGTGGACAGGCTGCCACCGTGAAGCATGTGAGGAACCGCCCTGGGAGCCAAGCAGGAGAAGAGGTAAGGAGCAGTGCTGTAGCAAAAGGGGCAAAAGGGGCAAAAGGGGCAAAAGGGGCAGGGGCAGGCATGCAGCTGCCCCTCCCCCGTGGCTGGGGACTTAACCACTAGCACCCCTCCAGCTGTGGGGTCTGTGCAGCTGACCCACAGGGGTCACTACTGCTTTTATCTGGAGCCAAACAAGGATATGCCAGCAGCACTGTAGAAACCTCAGCAGGGGCAGGGTTGGGTGCAAAGTCGTGGGGTGGGAAGTTGAGGACTTCATTAGTGAGTCCCAGACAAAAAACCTTTGGGGTGAAGGCAAGTGGCTCCTGAGTGCACAGGAACAGCAACAGCTGGTGTGTGTGTGTGTGTGTGTGTGTGTGTGCCCGCCGTTTTCAGGGTTGGCAGGCTGAGAGTCTCAATGGCAGTGACAGGGTAGCCAATGGCTTGGCAAGTGTCTCTAGGCTCTGGACTCCAAAGCACCTAGGACGGGAACTTGCCAAGGCAAAAGCAGAAGCAAATGCAGTCCTGAGGCAGCCAGGCGCTGGCCTTCGCTCACACCCTTGCAGCTGCTGAGGAGAGGAGCCCAGGCTTCCTTCTTGCCTGCACTGAGTGGGACGTGTCACCCACAGTTCCTGCCACTGTGACTGGGGCAAAGTGCTGCCGTGGTCTTCCCTGCACGCCCAAGGGAGCCTGCCCCCTCCTAGCACTAGCTGGCCCCAGGGGTCCTCACCAGCTAGACTTGGCTTCCCTGGCAGGCCAGCAAGGGATGGTGTAGGCATCACATACCACGTCCCTTCAAAGTGCTCATGGTTAGATAACACTTCCACACAGAAATTCTTCACTGATCCTTCCCCCTGCCTCCGTGATATGTGTGTCACGGGTCAGCTATTGCCTCTGTGTGGGATTATGAGAGCTCTCAGCGGCCAGTTCAGTTTCTCAGGAAAGGATCTCTTTTCACCAGGCTCTGAAGAAAGTTGAGAACGCCACTTCCAAAGCTGGCCAACTGCTCCTCACATGGGTTTTTCCAAGTGCAGGCAGGGTAGGGTAGAGGTCATGAGCTGGCTTCAAGTCTGGGCTTTTCTACTTACTAGCCAGGCAGCTCTGGCACAACAGCTCACCGTGCTAACCCTGTTTCCTGACATGTGAAATGAGACAGTAATAGTACCCACCTCAGAAACAGCTGAGCCAGGTGCTTCCCAGCTCACAGAATCCTCAAGGCACTCTACAATGTGGACACTTACCCACCTCCATTTACAGGCGAGGAAACTGAGGCAGGGGGAAATGCCATGCCAAAGGCTATGTGGCTTGTCCATGATGCACCAAGGCCACCCTGAGCCACACACGCTGCTTTTTAGAAGAAACACATGTGACCCTAGTCCTTGACACAGTGCCTGGTGTGCAGCAAACCCTTAGAAAACATTAGTCACCAGTTTTTGTGAGTCCCTGTGTGGGACAAACTTCACAGAGAGGGACCCACAGGGACCCACATTCTTTCTCTGTTCTTGACACATGGAAGAACCCTACTACAGTTTTCAGAAAAGTTCCAGGAAGCAGAGCCAGTTCTGTGGCCACCGCTACTACCTACTGAGGAACCTTCCAGTAGAGTAGGAGTTGGGGCCATCAACAGTGTGCCCGAGTCCCTGAGGTTCACACTAAGGAAAAGTATAGACACCCGGACCAAAGCCCCCATCCCAACCCCACAGGCACAGTACCCATCCATCCCACAACCTCACCAGCACTACTGTCTGCCTGTTGGCATCTCCTAGAACTACAGGGGGTGAGAACACGGGATTTCCTCCAAGCTGTACCAGGACCAACGGCCACACCTGTCCTGTAGTTGCGGAGGGAGAGGTAAGAAGGGGCCACCACCAACCCTGGCCATGGTGGTAGGTCTTGCTCCACACAACACTGGTGGATCCAAGCCCAGGACAGCAGCTTCTGTCCTGTAGACTCCCTGAGCTCTCAGGCATTTTGAAAGCTGTTGTGAAATACGTGATTTTCTAGCACTAGCTTCTGGGGCTGTAGAAGCCACTGTTGAAGTCACTGTTGTGTCCCAGAGCACAATGGCCTAGAGCACAAAGCTTTGAGACTGGCCAGACACTCTGACTGACTCTGTGGGCCTCTAACAAAAACTTACTGCTTGTCAATAAAGGTGGAACAGATGCAAATGTGTACTGCACACGTCTAGGGGCACTGCCAGTACTGTTGATCCCACAGTGACTTATGAAGGACCCACAAGGTTGAGACATGTATTGATCTCCTTTAATCCTTACCATAACCTTAGGAGGTAGGTTCTATTTTTAGCATTCCATTTCAAAGATAAGAAAACTAAGGCTCAGAGAAGATAATTGCCCAAAGGCCAAGTGATTATGTAGATCTGGAACCCAAGACTGGCTGGCTCCCATCCTGGCTTCTTTCAGCTCACCCCACTGCTTTGTTCATGGTGTCTCAACTTCTCTTACCCTGATGCTATCATGGGGTCCTTGCCAGCAGTCTGTCCCCAGCAGCCAGGTCTGCTGCTGTTGACCTACAGAGCGCTGTACCTGCCCCGCATGAGAGCCATATGCTCACAGGTTCTGTGCATAGCTTGCTGTCCATGGCACCTACTTGTGAGACAAAGGAGGCACAACTGTTTTACCTCTTAGAAATGAGCGCCGGCAGCCACACACACATCCTGGGTACACAGCGGCACTCCCCCAACAGCAGAGATCTGGCACTAGCCCTTGGGGGCAGGGCCTCAAGGAAGCGTTTGTCTACATCACCAAGACACCACTTCTTTCTTTCCATCATCCCTACTTGGAGTGGAGTCTCGGAAGTGGAGCTCCCTAGGCTGCCCTGGAGTAGCTCCTGAGACAGCATGGGGAGATGGCACTGGTAGCCACAGCAGAAGAGACAGCAGCCTTGCCCAGAGCAGGTCCCTTCAACCTCTGGCCTTTGGAAGCATGGCCCATTTAATGTGGAATGATCTCAACTGACAACTCACAGTTGGGGGTGGGGCTGTGCTTTGTAGAGCCCATAGCCCAGCAGAAGGAGCCAGGCAGATGGTAAATGACAACACAAACACACAATAGTATGAGAGCCTGTGGAGCAAAGAGGGTCTTGAAGATGGGTAGTGCTGTCCCCATTTTGCAGAAGTGGAAACTGAGGCTTAGAGGCACAGTACCTGTCCCACAAGTGGCCAAAAAGCAAAGATTCAAACCTAGACTTATGCTTACTCTAGCCTGCCCATTTCAGCCCACACAACTCTTATGCAGAAGCCTCAAAGAAAAGTCAATACACGGAACAGCAAACACCCCAAATAGAAGGGTTATTCAGCCACAGACATCTCAGAGTTCGTGGTTGTACATAACTTACATCAGAAACCTCATTTGGGGGTTTCTATGACAAAACTATATTCCCTCACAGGGACTGCAAGTCTTATGACTGATTTAATAACAGCTCTGGGAAGGGAGCGCTACGATAGTACAATGTCCTGTTCCACGCACACATCAACTGTGAGACACATTCTGATCACAGGAATGTTAAAATGTTGGGTGGTGGAGCCAGGCCTCTGACAATCAGCTATTGTATCATGTCTGATCTCTGGTGAAATGAGCCTGTCTTGGGGCCAGCAGCCGCACAGCCCGGTCCCCTCTGCTGCCCAGTCCTCAGGCATGTGGGTGAAGGCCACTGTGCAAAAGCCCAGGATGAATTCTGTTCTTATGTCCCAGTTGCCCAAAGTCCTGCCTGAAGAGGTCCCACTCTAACCTCTGCCAGGGAAGACCGTGTATGCCTCAGCCATTACCCATCCTCCAGGCCCACCCCCGCCAGACAGGGAAGGGATGTGTGGAATGAATAAGGCCCTGGAGTGATGAAACTTGGACTCCTTGGAACCCACACTTTGAAGCTAACTAGGCTGCCTGCCACGGTTTGTATCTAGAAGGCCCCCAAGGCTTTACACAGTCAGAGCTTTTCAGAGGTAGCTGGAGCTACAGGTTGTGATGCTAGGATTTAGGCTGTGATGCTGGAATGGATTCATGGTAGGACACTAGGATGAAGGCTGCCCCACCTGGGGTGTGAGCGCCACTTGCCCTAGGTGTAGGTAGCCTGGGTAAAATAGGAGAGACAGAAAGAGGTCTGCTGTGGCTAGTGTTTGTTTGTCATTTGCTGCCTTCTCTTCCTGTCATGAGCTGTTTTTCCTCAGCCATGCCACCTGCCTTTCAGCCAGCCAATTACGTACTGAAGCCTTTCACGACGAAACCTTTTCTCCTTTAACTTTGGATGTTAGGTATTTTGTCTCAGCAACAAAAAGGAACCTAAGACATTCCACCAGGAAACATGGCAGGCCCTTTCTTGCTGTACAGCCAGGCTCTTCTGGGGCACCTCTCCTGGCCTCTCATCACCTGTGCCCTAGCAATCCCCAGAGCTGGATTAGGCCCCCCGAGCCACCCTATTTGGGTGTCATCCCTGCATTATGATGAGTGCCTAGTACGGCGGATACCTCCTCTTTTTTTGCCCCTGCTCTATCTCCTCCCCACCCTACCCTCATCCCTGTAACTGAGAAGATACTTAGGAAATGTGGAATGAACACAATCCTTGAGTTCCTGTTCAGTAGTCCATGTGCCCTCCTGGGTCTGGGGCATTCAGAGAGGAATCTGCTCTCCACCTGCTCGTAAGAAGCTTACGGTGTAGGGCAGATAGATACAGTCTGGGTCCTGGATGCTGGGTTGGATAGAGGCAGCTACAGCTGCACCTGCAAGCTAGAAGGAAAGGACCTCATTGCAAATGTGTCTCCACAGGGAGATGACCCTGAGAGAGAGGCCACCTTGAAAAGGAAGACAGGCACCCATCGGGTAGGACAGTGGGGAAGAAAACAGCATGTGCAAAGGCAGGAGGCTGTCTGTGAGGAGGATGCTGACATGACCAGGTGTGAGTGTGAGAAAGGTGGTCCCAGAAGTGAGCACAGTGTGGATTGCAGGGGAGGGAGCACCCAAAGGTCAGGAGCCAGGTAGGATTGTGTGGGTAAGAAAGCTGGCTCTCGAGGATACAGGTCTTGCTCCAAGCACAGCTCTACCATTTGGCAGCTCTGTGCCCCAAGGCAAGTGACTTCATCTGCTCAGCTGGCCCAGAAAAGCAACTCCAAGTGAGGCCTGGATTTCCTAGGAATTCACCCAAGAGAGTGCTATCCACCCAGTCTCTCATCCTCCCTCGCATATGGGGCTAGTTTCCTGGCTCCAGAGCACAGCAGGCAGTGTCGGAAATGCAACAGCCAACTCCAAAGCTGGACTTTCAGATGGCTTCTGCAGATTCCCTGCCTCTGCTCTGGTGGCCATCGCTCCTGGCACAGAGGGCTCAGTGCATGGACTTTGGGGAAATCTCAAAATGGTTCCCAAAAAGTGCACCATGGAAAAGTATCAGCAGTATCCTTGTTCCTCTGGCAAAGACAACCAGCTCCCCACTGCCTAACCACATCCCCTCTGCCCTATGATCTCAGTGTGACCACAACCCGGTTCCATGCACTCAGCCCTTGCCTGGAGCCAGCAGCTCAGCCACGCCAGGAGCACGAGAGTCCAGTCATGGGCACCCCCTCTCCACCCCAGTCACCTACAGGCATACATGACAGACTTCCAGTCTTGGGCTATCAGGTTCTCTGGTTTACGCTTGTGTTCCTGTGGGCTGAAGTCACACGCCTCGGCTAGATGGGAAGGCTAAATGGATGAGTGGTAGAAGGCTAGATGGAGGGACACATTGTTCATTTGTAGGTCTTCTGAGAGTTGGACCACAGGGTTTAGGAGCAGCCTCCTTGGGTGCCCACATGGCCTCCCGGGGGCGATGATTCACAGGATTCTGTGCTGAGAAGATGGCAGCTGGAGACTTGGTTATTCCCTCCCTGGCCTCCAGGCTGGGGGTGAATCACCGAGGACAAATGATACATAGTCCCTTCTCCTGGCTTTCTAAGGTGAGCCTGCCACTACTCATCCAGATGCCCATGCTAGGGTCTCACCACTTGCAAGATCAAAAAGCTGTTTCTAAGGTTCAACAAAACTCACCCTTGTGCTGACCTGAAAGCCATTTCTACCCATTCGGTCAACAGTGAGTAAGAAATAATCTGCATCCTGGCATTGGACAAACAAACAAACAGGGACCTTTTATTCATACTGGCTGGAGAGACGACCTTGGTTGGAGTGAGGCTATAAGGCCGGCAATGTCTGCTGAATCCCAGACCCAGTATTTACTCCAAGTGACAGGCGTCGCCCAACCTTTCTGCACTTGGGTTTCCTCCATGTCTGGTGCGGATAACACTTTTCTCCTAGGAAAGGCTGCCTGATCAGCATACTTTCGGGAGTGAGAAAGGACACTGTTAACAGTCACATAGGAGCACAGGCCTTGGTGGGGCCAGCCAAGGTCTATGGCCTTCTATTCCTGGGCTACGAGAGCCAAAGAAATAGCATACACAGAGCACCCAAGTTTACGACAAACAGCAGCCGTTACTGTTGGGCATAGGTCAGCAGCCCTCCTGTGCCTTTTCTCCTGTTTTTTTCCTTTATCTGACTCCCTCCTGTGCCCTGGCTCAGTGGCTGTTTGGGTGCCGCTCTGCCCCCACACCAAGCCTTTCTACCAGCTTTCAAAGGTACAACTGTTTAAATTTTCACTGGTCTCTTTTCTGTCCTGACATAGGTTTACTATCTTGATTCATGCTTTGGTCCACCAGTCTCAAACACAGCTTGAGTTTCTAGCTTTCTAGAACCTAGACATCAGGAGCAGTTCAGATGCCTCTGCCACCTTGACAGAGGCTCGATTCTCAGGCCTGCTGCAAGGCTGGGATGCCTCTGGCCTGGACTCATCACCAGCCACTGTCTGTGCGTGGAAGGTGTGCGGCGTTGGCTGGGGGTAGGGTGTTCCACGAGTCCTTCAGGCAATGATGAAAGGGCTCCTCAGAGCACAACTTAAGTCAGAGGTCACTTTGCTCTCTACAGTCCTGGGGACCCCAGGGGTCCTCCCATCCTCCTACTGCCTGAAGGCCAGAGAACGTTCTCTCTTGGGTTTCCTCTCACCTTGGTACTTTCATAGCAAGTATACTTTGGGGTGTATTTTGGGATTCTGTTGCTAGCCCTGCTACTTAGTAATTAGGTGATTTGGGCACATGATTCAAAGCTCAATAGTTCCCTCACCTGCAAGTTATTAGCCTTAAAAGCATCTTTGTGGGAATTGGAAAATAGCTGTAATATATTTGCAAGACCAGGGCTGTGCGTTGAGGCCTGAAGCAGTGGTGACGAACACGTGGCACTCATGCCACAGCTGGGTGTTTGTTATTCCTGAAAGCTCTAAAAGGTTTGCCATCATGGCCCTAGAATTTCAGAGGGCACAACGACAGCCAGCACACACAGTGGGCCTAAAACAACAGGGCCCCTCATCCAAGGTTGTTAGAAGGATTAAATGAGATAATACACGCAGAGTACTTGTACTGTAGTGGTAACTGGCTGTAGTTATCATTTTTTATTATTTAAACTTTTCTCATTTCTAACCTTTGGGTGAGAACTCAGAAGTGGCCCTGATCCAGGAGGTTCTGCCACAGGGCACGCAGCTCCATTTACCAAGGTGACACTTTTACCTGGGATGCAGTGCCATGTGGTGAGAGGCATGTGGACACCTTGTATGTGGCTCCAGCACACAGGCCAGAGGTTGGGTAGGACCCAAGCCTGCCTTGTGCAGCGGCTGTCACGTGGAGCAGTCACTGGTAGGGAGGAAAGCCCGTGTACAATGGAAACTCCACACAACACAATGTGGAAAAGCAATTTTGAGAGTCATTTTTACTTTAATTTTAGAGCCAAGGAAAACAGTTGGATTTGCTTTTCTTTGTTGGTCAAAGGAAGAAACTGAGGAGCAGGGCTTTGCTTGCAGCTGAGCTCTTCTCCAGCCCGAAACACTGGAACACTAGGGGCTATTCCTCTTGGGATGCAATTAGCTGAGTAAATACCAAGAGAGCAAGGGTAAACACACTCACTGCTGCCCCTTCAGAACTGCCAAGCCAGCAAAAGTCTAGGGGCTTGAAATCTTCACAGAAAATAAATGCCTGGGAGGCCAAGGGCTGCCCAGGGAGCTTAGCCCTTGGGAAGAGGCAGCCTGAGGTCCACGGGGGCAGCTCTGCTCTTACCTGCCACCATTCCTGGGCAACTCAGTGGTCCTGCTCTACACCTCCACCGGTCAGATGGAGGAAGAGCAAACCTTCTGGGTGGCCAGGGACAGCATGCGTCAGGCCCCAGTGCAGCGCTCTGCCCCAGCCCTTCCCTTCTCCCTGTAAGTCAGTAGGCTCAAGGTGCTCAGAGCCCAGGCCCTGTGGAGAGGAACAGTGATACCCAGAATGACTGCAGCTCCAGGACTGGCCCCACCACTAGCAGTGTGCCTCTGAGCCAGTTACCTGACACCTTTTTGAGCTTCAGGCTGCCTCTGGGCTGGGAGGCTCTGTAACCTACATCAAGACCCCCTTTGTGAAATGGGGTAGCAGCGGTACCTGCTCATGGGGTAACTGTAAGGATTCAAGGTCTGTCCTACCCTTAGTTTATACTGCTACTATTGTTTGGTTCTTGTTACTATGACTACCATGTTACTCCAACTTCTAGTTTCTTTCTTTTTTTTTTTTTGTCTTATTTTTTAATTTTTCTTATATATATTTATTTTTTATTGAGAAATAAATATGAATGAGACAGTTTCACAGCTGATTAATAGGACAGTTTTGATAGTCAATACACTGTACATTGTTATCTTCTTAGTGGTTATCCATAGTATAAGAAGCAGACAGGATATTCTGTCCAAACACTGTTAGTACACTTCTTTCTTCTCATTGAGTTAAGGGAAAGTAGCTGTAAATTTATCCTATTTTGCATATATAAATACAAAATGATCTTTCCTTTGTATCCTTTTATTTTTTTTATCCTAGTTTCTGAAATCCTCCATGTTGCTTATCTATATCACCCCATTCCACAGAGGAGCCTCAGCCTTCAAGATCTCAGGGTCAAGGGTAAGGGCTCTCCTGGGAAGTTCTGAGAACCATGCTTATGAAGGGCTAGAACTCCCAGATACACAGTACAGCCTCTAGGGTCTGGAAGCCTGGGAAGGTTTGGAAATCAACCCTTTTCCTAGAGCCAGGTCCCTCCCCAGGCCTCTGGCAATGTCTTGGGCAATGGCAGAGGCCAGGCCCCAGTGGTACAGAGGTGTTTGTTACCAGCCACAGCAGGTGAGGCAACTAAGGAAGGCACAGGCAGGCCCTCCCTAGCCTGAAGCTTGGCTCCTCCCCACTGTTGTTCTGGGGCAGGCATGGCCACCCGCCTAGAAGCAGCAAGTGCTTTGGAAACCAGACAAACACTCCCAAACGCCGCCTGGTTTCCACTGATGTCACAGCAGCCCCACCTCCCAGTGTAGCCCCAAATCCAAGCCAAAGGCTCTCAGATACCTCTCTGCTTACCTGAAAGACCTGAGCTGCCCACTGGTAGCACTTTTGGGTGCTGTTGTTCAGTGAAAATGGCTCGCTTAGCACAGCCGTGTGAAGCACAGGGTCTACTCTGTCTGTGCTCATTGGCTAGCACCAGGTGGAAGCCAGGGGCTCCTGGGGAAGCACCCCACCAGTCCAGGGAGGGTAAACCTTTGAGTCCTGTGCAATGGCTTATATTTTAGCGCAGATGAACAGGAAACCAGAACATGATCATGTTAGTGCTTCTCCCCCCTTCCTTTTATTACTAAGCCAGATTAAGCTCATTTCTGAGCAGTTAGTCATTAGTGTTTGAAGGTCTGTGGTCCTCAGACCAGGGGTGGGTTGTGCCACTTTTTAGATTTGTGATGGTGGACAGGTCATGTAGTCTCTGAATCTCAGTTTCCTCCTTTGTAAAATGGAAATAACAATAGTATCCACCATCAGAGGACATAGTGTGACTATCGGAAAGCAGCCCCAGGTCAGGCAGATGGTGGCCCCGCACAAGGCGTGGATGTTAAGGACTTCCTAATGAATCTGCTCCACAGCCCTCCTTGACACAGCTCTGCCCCTCTGGGAGTCCTTGTCCTGAGCTCCCCAGTGCCTCAGATCCCTTTTCACAGCCTTCCCACTGCACCACAGGTGGTGGTGGCTATGTATGCCACTCTGTCAACCAACTTCAGAGTGCCTGTGCATTCCTGGCCACGTGCTGAGCGTGGCTCACGGAGTTCACCACTACCCTCATGGAGAACGCCATGGGGCAAGGTGAGGGCATGCATCTGATGGTGACAGGGACTCTAAAGGGAAAGGCAGAGGTCACGATCTTACCTAAACATGGAGGACCTCTCTGAGAAGCGGCTATTTCAATATAGACCTGAAAGAGGCCAGGGTGCGGGCACGGAGAGGGCAGAGCATTCTGCTCAAGGATAGCAAGAACGAAAGCCCTGACCTGCAAGTGCACCAGGTGAGCTCGAGGAACAGTCTGAGGCCCATGGGTTGAGCTGGTGTCTGAGGAGGGTGGGTAGGGGTCTAAGGGATGCACGAGGGAGCAGAGGTGGGACATGGAGGGTCTGAGATAGTCATTAACCTTCACTCCAAAGTGGAGAGCAAAAAAACAAAAATTGGAGAGCCACTGTTGGGCTTTGAAGAGAAGGGCAATCCAATCTGACTTTGGTAAAAGCTACAGCTTCTGAGTTGAGGACAAGCTGGAGGGGTGGGGGTGGGGGCAGGAGACCAGTTAGGAATGACTGTAACAGTCCAAGTGAAGGTGAAGGTAGGCTGCACTGGGTTTGGGGTGACAGAGCATTCTGGGAATGTTTCTACGATGTCATAACTCAGCAAATTTAATGTGGGGTATGAACGAGAGAAAGGAGCTGAGGACCACTTCACAGTGCTTGACTTGAGTAACTAGAACATAGTTGGAGACTGGGCACGGTGATACACGCCTGTAATCCCAGTGGCTGGGAAGCTGGAAACAGGAGGATCACTATGAGTAGGATCTGTGTAGTGAGACGCTATAGACCCTGTACTAAATATATAGAAAAAAAAAAATATATATATAGAACACAGTTGGCATTTACTCATATAGGATAAACTGGGAGAAGCAGGCGGGGGTAAAGGCATGGTAAAAAACAGAGTAAGTGGAGTCTGAGATGCCCAGTGGACAGTGAGGTGGAAATATAAAAGAAATACTGGGTATGTGAGTGTGGGGGCAGGCAGAGAGTGCATGGGTATGATCGGTGCTTGAAGCTAACCAAAGCCTGGAGGAGATCTAGAAGGCCAACGAGACTCCAGACTTAAAGACAAGAGCATGGGGTGAACCAGCTGAGAAGGTGCAGCCAGGGACTGGGTGCAGCCATTTGATGCTGGTCACTCGTGACCTGGCTGCAGTGTCTGCAGGGGCCTAGGCTGGGCCTAGGCTCCAGGGAATAGAGAGGAGCTTCCTGGGATCCTGAGTGTAGGCAACTCTTTGGAGGAGTTTGCCAGGGGAAGGGTGGGCAGAAAAATGGAAGAGCAGGGCTGTGAGGTCGAGAGACTTAGGGCACATATCAAGAAACAGCAGTTTGGGGAGGAACTGCGGGGCAATGGTGGGCGGGGCAAGGACTGCAGGGCACTGTCCTCAAGGCACCAGAAGAGGAAACAGCGAGTATCCCCGGCTGGCCAATCTGCCTCTTTCTTGTCCCCTGAGGGTCAGTGTAGAGGTCACTTTCTCAAGGAAGCGGTCCTGACCTCCACCACGTCAGTCAGGCCCCTGTGATTCCCTCCCGCAGCACAGGACACTCTTGGTTCCCAGTATCTGGGGATCCTGTGATGCTTAAGAAGCCCTGTGAGGGCAGGGCTGGCTCGGCCCTGTTGCAGCTCTGTCCACAGCAGCTAGCACTCTGCCCTCTACGCTGTGAAGCTCGATGCACAGCCGGGGAGGGATGAATGGCCCACGCGCCTGTCTTCTGCTCCAGTCTGATTTAATCATGTTGCGCGACTGGACTGCAATCACTGGCTGCCGCGAATATTTGGATGTAGAAGAGCCTGGTTGTTTGTTCCTGTTTGGAGCTCTGTGCTTTGGCTCACACAGTGACGAGAGCCATGTGACCGGACACATCCTTCTACTGACACTGCCCACTACACACTGAACACATTCCACACTGTGTCTAGCAATTCATTAGTTTAACAAACATTTGCTGAAAGCCTGTTCCATGCCATACTCTAGAGATGTAAGGTAAGGTCAGACCCAGGGCCTGCCACCACAAAGCTTAAGTGCAGCAAAGGAAAACCCACAGCAGGTGCTACACTGGAGCAGTGCAAGCATCACAGTGTGGAATGAACAGACACAAAGATTTCAGGCCTTGCGAGCGGCAGAGCCACAGCTCCAACCTCAAGACTCCCAGGCCCACTCTCTTCCCTTCTCTCTCTTCTGGGGCCTGCTCTCTCTTTCTGAGGCTTGCAAATTGACTGCTTCCACAACGCCCACCCCAACTCCCGTAGAACAGAATATATCCTCCCAAGCTGCATTAGGGCATCGCTCTGCCTGACAAGAAGGATGGGATCAGGATGGCACAGGCCACAGGCAGGGATGAGCTTCACTGATGCTCCCCTTTATCTGTTTTCAGGCTTGCATAGATTCCATCTAACAAAGACTACCTACTGCTTTGCAAGGACCATGCGGCCACTGTGTCTGACGTGCTGGTGGCTGGGACTGCTGGCCACGCTGGGAGCTGCTGCAGGCCCAGAGGATGGCTTTGAGGGCACTGAGGAGGGCTCACAGAGTGAGTTTATTTACCTCAACAGGTATAAGCGAGCAGGCGAGTCCCAGGACAAGTGCACTTATACCTTCATCGTACCACAGCAACGAGTCACCGGCGCCATCTGCGTCAACTCCAAGGAGCCTGAGGTGCTCCTGGAGAACCGTGTGCACAAGCAGGAGCTGGAGCTGCTCAACAATGAGCTGCTCAAGCAGAAGCGGCAGATTGAGACACTGCAGCAGCTGGTAGAGGTGGATGGCGGCATCGTGAGTGAGGTGAAGTTGCTGCGCAAGGAGAGCCGCAACATGAACTCACGCGTTACACAGCTCTACATGCAGCTCCTGCACGAGATCATCCGCAAGCGGGACAATGCGCTGGAGCTCTCCCAGCTGGAGAACAGGATCCTGAACCAGACGGCTGACATGCTGCAGCTGGCCAGCAAGTACAAGGACCTGGAGCACAAGTACCAGCACCTGGCCACGTTGGCCCATAATCAGTCAGAGGTCATCGCACAGCTTGAGGAGCACTGCCAGAGAGTTCCTGCTGCCAGGCCTATGCCCCAGCCACCCCCTGTCACCCCACCCCGGGTCTATCAGCCACCCACCTACAACCGTATCACCAACCAGATCTCCACCAATGAGATCCAGAGCGACCAGAACCTGAAGGTGCTGCCACCACCTCTGCCCACCATGCCTGCCCTCACCAGCCTCCCATCCTCCACAGACAAGCCATCAGGTAAGTCCTGGGACCCTGTGCCATGTGGGCCTCTGAGCTGGCCACCAGGCCTCCCTTGGCTGTGACCAGAAGCGAGGGGAGACCATCACCAGTCAAGGCCAGGCCAGGGGCCTGTGGAATCCCCTACAATCCCTTGGGCCCACTGGTGGAGCCAGTGAGGAAGAGGGGACCACAATGCTTAGACAGATGCTTGAAGGTAGAACCAGGAAGCAGGAGTCTTAGGAGAGGACCAATTTTCACTGGCTTCCGACAAGAAAGAACAGAGGCCCATATTTTTTGCAGGCTGTGCATGAGACGCTTGGTATTGGCTACTAGGATATCTCTCCTGAATGCTTGTGTACTGTGCAAGGCCTGGAGCTGGAACGCTAGAAATGCCACTCAACTGGCAGCAGGCCAGGGGAAGTAAAGCATTATCTCATTAAAGATACGTTAACACCTCACAGGGATCGAGGGATCAGAAGGGTGCTTCAGAAAGCCCATGCCTTTGCCACTGCCTAGGATTTTCAACGACGCTTCCACTGCCCTTATGTATACTTTTCATCCTAAAATACAACAAAACTATGAGAGAGGAGAAATGGAGCCATAGCAAGTTGGGAAGCTTGGGATATAAATTTATTACGTACCCTCAGCTCCTTTGGGATAGGTTAAGTATGCTCTCACAGGCTTGGGCTCTATAGGCTGCTCCTGAATTCGGGTTTTGCCGCTTTACAATTTGAGCTGACTCCTCTGTGCTCAAGGATTCTGAATCCTCAATTTTGGGGGTGCAGGCCAGAGGCTCCCCTGCCAGGGTGCCTGCCCAGCCCAGCTCCCTGGAGCTCAACCTCTCACTCATCCAGGAGGCAGCAGCTTCCAAGCGGGCTGCGACGTGAGAACTAGATTCTCTCTGCCGAAGCTGCCCACGTGTCCGCTCTTAGTGCTCTGGGTACCACTTTGCTGGATAAGTGAGCAGATACAGTACTTTTACTGAAACGATCCTATTTTACACACTTGTTTCTCACTTTAAAAAATAACCACCAGTACCAGCAAGAACAGTTTCTTGCTAATTCCAGAAAGGCCCTGAACCTGTAGGCAACACTGGCTAATGGGCAGCTTTTTTTCCATGGGGAGCGGGGAGGTGGCAGGGGCACAGCTGGCCAGACAGAGGGCAGGGCCTCTGGAAGGAAAGGTGTACTGGGTGTGAGGGGCTGAGAGTGGGTTCTTAGAACTGCCTGGGCTGGGCTCGGCGCTTGCTTCCTCCACTGATTAGCCCTGTGCCATCAGGAAACTGCTTTGTCCCTCTGGACTTCACTTTCCTCACTGAAGCTTCAGGTAGGTTCTATTTTAATCTTCACCCAACTGACAGCTCTGTGAAACAAAATACTGCAGAAAGTGTGCTTAGCAGAGGGCCCGGCCCGTGCTATGCTGTGTCTCCTTTAACCTTGATCTTTTAGTCTAAAAACAGGGACACTACAATAAACAACCCCTCTCTGGCTGTGACATTCCACAGCTCCTTGCTGGTCTATCTGTACCTCACCTGCTTCACTTCAGAGGCCTGAGACAGCTGGGTGCATGTCTCCATAGGATACCCAGAAGGCAAACTGCGGAGGCCTGGCTGAATGTGGCTGGCATCCTGACAGTCAGGCGGGTCTCAGTGGTTACCCTGCAGATCTCCTCTTGCCCGAACATTTGTGGTTTCTCACACTCAACAATTTCAGGACATTCCTCAGCTTGAACTAAGCTGGTAGACACAGCACAGAAGACTAAAGACCTGGGTTTGCACCCAGGCCCAACACTATTAGCTGTTTGCTCATGAAAAAGTTATTTAACTCCTCTGAGTCTCAATTTTCTCTCTGCAAAATGGGTTCCCATTTTGAGCTATAATCTCACAGGATTGTCATGGAAATTCAATCAAGCATGTCATTTTATGTCATATGGTGTAGTCAACACTGGCTGAGCCTACTTCAGGCTGGTCACAAGGTTAGGCAGGGGTTGGGGTGGTTTGAAAACTATGGTCTCTGAATTCCAGGAACTCAGCCTGGGGAGGCGGCAGGTACATGAATGCACCTGGAATCCATCCAATCTCCATCATTTCTCTTTTTAAAACCAGCACATCAGGTTTGACAAAGGAGCTCTCTAGGAGGGAGTATAGCCCTGATTTCTAATACACTGGGGCTAGCCTAACAGACTTCCTGAAGTTGGGAATGCAGTGAACACTAAGTGGTCTGGCCACTGTGTTAAAATCTCAGTGGGCTAAGCACCCCCGAGAGGAGCACACAGGGACTGTGGGGTTATAAAGATGACATGGCTGAGTCTGCCCAGAAGGAGGGGAAAGGTTGGGACTTCTGTGTTACATCTTTTTTTTTTTTTTAAATTATTTATTTATTTACTTATTTGGTATAGGGTCTCCCTACGTAGCTTGGATTTGTAGTGATCCTCCTGTCTCGGCCTCCCTAGTGCTGGGATTACAGGGATGTGCCACAATGCCAGGTTTCAATGGCTGGCATGGTGCAGGGCTGGTGCAGGATATAGTACTGGGGATTGAACCCAGGTCCTTGCACTTGCCAGGTAGGCACTTAGACCACTGAGCTATTTCCCTAGCCCTGTGTTACATCTTGAAGGACTTGTGAGAGTTTACCAGGCAGATTTGGGAGTTGGAGCACCAAGTTACCTTGATGGAGATGGGCCTGCCAAAGACCCAGGGGCGTGTACCTGGCCTTTCAGGTGGCCCAGGTTCCTGCTTCCTCACTGTCCAATGTCAGCTATAGGGAAGGTGAAGGAGCCTGGGGGCTATGTAACCAAGGCTTCTACCCCCACCAGCCTTTTTAGGAAAGTACATGGTATAGAAAGGAATGATCAAGGTTACTTTATGGAAGTAACTTTACATTTAAAGCATTCCTCCCAGTGGTTCTTGATCATTAGCAGCAGACTTCTTGTGGCCCATCTCACCACTGAATTCCCACACCAACACAGACAGGGAGGGGAGGAGGGGGCCTGTAGGGAAGTCCTGCCCCTTCCTGGGGTTTGACTGAACTAGGAGGAAAAAGCAGATGGCTTCGCTCCACTGAGCATGAATTCAGCCAATGGCAGAGAGCTCTTATCAGGCCTCTTCTGAGCTGGCCAGATTTTGGTCCCTGGAATACAAAACCTTCTCTGTGCTCTCCCGGGAGCCTTTATTCCTGGGACATCACTCTGAAACACCTTTGAAACGAAGCACTTCTGCACCCAGACCTTGGCATCCTCTCAGCCTTTCATCCAGCAAGCCCAGAGCCTCTGCTCTGTTCTCCACTGTTCAAACTGCTTGGCCACAGCATGGCCTTCCCTGGGGGCTAAGACAGCCAAGCCCCTTATCTGAAGCAGCACTCAGGCACTCACCACCTAGCCACAACCAGAGAGTGACAGGCTGGCCCCAGGCCAGCAGGGCCTGCTGAGAGCAGGGGTGAGGGGTCCAGGTAGCTTCTGGTTTCCTACCTGGGCTCTGACCTGTCTGTCTCACAGCTGGCCAGACTTGGGGCATTTTGCTTTGGGTGGTGTTTGTGATGAGGCCAGAGCCTTATCCTGTGGGTCCTGGTGTTGCCGTTAAAGACTGACAACCACAGGAGCCAAGGCCCTCCCTGAGAGGCAAAGAAAGGACAGGATAGGCTCTGAGCTCACCCCATTTGGAGTCACCCATGCCAGGCACCTATCACAATGCCATCCTAGAGACAGAGTGGGAAGAACACAGCATGCCACTAGTTGCTCACTGAGGCTTTGTTAGAACTGCATCTTTAAAAGCTAGCAGGAATGAGAACTAGCCATGTAGCTGCTGTCTCTTCTAAGAAAGAACATGGCCAACTCAGTTTGTTTCTTAGGAGACAATGAAGGAGCCATAAAACCATAAATCACTAGAACCGTTAGGGCCCTGCAGATCCCCTAGCATAGCCTTCCTATCACTGAGCCCATGCCAGCAGGGATTGGTCCTTGGGTTTGTAACCATAAGGGCACTGAAGTTCAGAGAGGTCAAGCAGCTCAGCCAAGATGACACAGGTAGTACGTGGTTCAGTCAAGACTCAAACAAACTCTTCACCACTCTAGCATTCTGCACATTTCTATGGAGAGGCTGGCAAGAAATGTATGAAAATCACTCTGAATGCCTGGCATGGCCCCAGCTGAAAGGGACCTCATCTTCAGTCACTGTTTCATGCAAACAGCTGACAGACGTTAGAACACTCACTGTGCTGACCCAGGCCCTCATCTGCATGCCCACCCAGGCCACGCGACCCTCCCTTGGTCTGCAAGACACTCAGTGTCCCACGGAAGGCACCATCCTGACCGCAGGATAACCTAATGTTTAATTTCTATCCCATCTTGACACATCACTGGGGTTGTTTCTATGGAGAATCAAGCCTGAGGTGCCAGTATCTTTCAAGGTTAGCTCTCCGTCTACAAAGTCTATAGCTCTGATCTTCCTGTGGGGCTATCCACTGATAACATAAGACACATGCGGAAACATACCTTCCCTCCCTCACTCCAGGTGCCAGTGGCTGGGGACTCAAATGGCTGCAACGAGCGTTTTCTTGGATATATTTTCTCCCCTGTATTTGACCTCACTCACCCTGTTTCAGTAGGAATTATGTGCTATGTTCCCCAGCACAACAGTTAGGTTCACAACAGAGAACGAAGTCTATGACCCTGAAGCTTCTGTTCTTCCTGGGGAACAACAAGACTCAGACCAAGGAGAAGATGCTGGTCCTGGGGACAGATGCATCAGCGCAGTGCCGGCAGCCTGGGCTCCCGGGCCTGAGCTGGGAGAGGCGCAGCGCTGAGGGTGAGCGGGGTGATTATGGCTGCCCTGACTCAGGTCTGCCTCCAAGGCTGCAGAGGCTGAGGAGAGCGCCACACGGCCTGCTATCTCTGGGGCGAGCTCTGTTCCCACTGGACCATGCTTTCTTTTTTCTAAAATGATTTGTTAAACAAAATAGGACTCCCAAATTCATTGCAAACTACGTAATGCAGTCCTGTTTCAAAGAGCATTCGTTCTGTTC